TCATATATGTAAAAATTGTTTGAAAACAAATTTTATTGTTGTAATAGATGTCCCATTCGTGTTTAAATATTAAGATAGTTTTGTGTTTACAGGGGCGTATCACGTTTGGGCCAGGATCTGACCCCCAAGCATCTGTGTTCTGTGACAATTGGAAAAAGTAAAACATAAGAGTTATTTCCCTTGAAATCAGATTATTCTCAAATAGTTCAGCTGAAGAGGATCATTCGCGATATCCAGATTTACTCATAGAATCAAAAATAAAGAAATAAAAAGTTGAAAAATCTGTAAAGTATTTAGACAGGTCATAAATAAACAGCCATCTTAAGACAAACTTGAGTATTATGTCGGGCTTAAATGCTGGTTTTGCACACACCAAGTGTACAAACTTGGGAAACCCTTTTAAACGGATTAAGTTCGTGGCATGTTTGACCTAGGTCAAATTCTGCCGACGACAAACGCCGGGGTTTCATTTTTAATTTGAATCCATGTTTAAACGAAATTTAAACCGTATCCAGAAAAAGGTACAGGCTCGCACACAAAGACTCGCAACATGACCCATCTATTAAATTCCCTGCCGTACACATGTTGTTCAGGGTCACCCATGCCTTTCATTAACCAATGTTCGACTATCGATATATAGATATATTGTTATATTGTTTAGGAACCTTTAAAGGCCTTAATCAAATAAGCGTAATGGCTTTAAGTAAAATTCACGTGCCCAGTCGTGCGAAAAGGCATCTAAGCAGTATCATTGGTCATTATATACAGCTATAAGCAAATAATATTTCTAAAACTGTACATTTATGCTGTTTTCATATCATAATGGTATAAAAAATCTTCTACCAATTACGAACAGTCAGCTATAACTATAACACATAATACCCAACATTTTATCAGGGACGATGACAGTGCGTCCAATAGAAATAATATCACCCAGTCTAAGGGTAACCGAGTCTTAACGAAAAATACCAAATATCATATCATGGACTGAAAATATTTTTACAAAATGTTTCATACCATTTGATATAAAGATAATTTGTTCACTCTCTTTTTGCAGGATAATCAATTTTACTTCGCAAAATGAACTAGAATGTAAAAGAAGAAAGAAGATTAAATCGGAATAGGATGGCGCCAAATAACAGTTCTCAATTTATTTTTTGAGTAAATTTCTTGATAATCTTTTTCATATTTTTTCCCGTTTTGGTTCGATTTTGAATTTTTATGTATTCAGGCCTTGGCACCGCAAGTATAGTGGAGTTCCTTTCATACAATCGAAACTCCTCGGATTTCCTCCTAATCCGAAGTTTGACGGAAATGGCCGAGATATGTTCGTAAACACACAAAAAAGCTAAGATTGAAGCTAAACAAAAAATGTTGACCTTGGAAGTGCACAGAGGATTTGCTAAATGCATGTACTTGTTAACTCACGTCAACAAAATGCACCGAATGAATATGTAAATTAGTCACAGCAACGTAGCTATCTGTTTATACAATTAATTCCCTACCTTATGCTTAATTCTCGAGAAATTATATCATGTTAACGTGATGAATTGTACGTTATAAATTGTTTTCGGTGATAAATTATCGTCAAGAAGTTAGGAAAAGCCTGCACGTCAATCTTCGTAATCTGATTACCCACGCAATTATATAATTGTTTTTAAATATATAAACTATGACATAGTTTCATTGGGCCCCGTGGGGGTGGGGGTAGGGCTTGGTCCCACGCCGATGACCTGTGATATTCAGGGTTTTGTGATAATGCCAATGTCTAATAGTAATATAATAGGTTTGCAGATCAGAAAATAGTATTTACTTATCTCTACCTTTATCTTTTACTTACATGCTGATTTCAGTGTTTTTCTAAAGACAGCTCCTGCAAAAGAATGTGGAAATTTGAAAACCTATGGCTGAAAATTACATAAAGGTCGCCTAAATTAGGAAGATATATAATAACTTTCTGCTCTTTTGATAATGTTGCTGTTCCGGTGAACAACACTGTAAAAATGTCTTTCAATTAAACTTTTTTTCTGAAAAAGGCTAATCGCTAGCTTCAGAGATTTAGATAATAAAGCTGGTTACATTTTAATGATTTAAACCAGCCTGCTGGTCATTAATTTTAAAGGAACTCCACTAAGGTCAAAAAGCCTAAAACCATAAAATTTAAATTTCTTGCATATACAGTAGACCAGTTGGGACACTTAAAACAGATAGATATGCAGAAGATTATTAAGAAAAATACTCAAAAATAAGTTAAAAGTAATATTTTTCGTGCTATTCTTAGCGTAATTAGAGTGAAAAGCGCTGCAACGCTATTCAGTTTTGGTTAATTTTTCACAGTTAAAATAATTATGCTTTAAAAAAAAAACAGTGAGCGAATTATTTGATTTTTTTTCACACAAGTTATTGGTCTTCGACATAATAGAACATTAATCTCCAGTCCTATGATGTTGGAGCCCCTTTAAGTAGATTTTTTATATTTTCCTGTGTGAATTAAACGTCGCAGATGTGGACAAGAACGTATTTTAAATGAATGCATCAATTCCATGAATTCTACATTAGTTCAAATACACGTGTCAAGTCAGCCGTGCGGAAAATATTACTAAAGGCATTTGCAATGGTTCAGATGTCGTAACATGTTGTTTAAATAAGTACATTCAGGTGAAACGGTTTTATATTAGGATACGGAAGTCATTGACTTTATATTAAAAAAAGAAATACGTTCACACATGTGATCTGCAACGAAATACCGGTGAGCAGTTGAGTGCAGTGTCAAGGTCTTGAAATCTTGTATTTTGTTTCTATAAACGGGATCTTTCAAGCAGAAATCTTCTGGTTAGAACATTGCACCATACAGTATGTATACATATAAAAATCTGTTTTCTCGAAGAATTGATTAGATATAAAAATTGCATCTTCTACATATGTTGCATAAGAATGAGTGTGTTGGTGGTGGTGTTGTTGTTGTTGTTGTTGTTGTTAACCTTGTGTAAATGACAATTGACATTGTTTTCCTTGTTGGCGACATGATACGTTTCTTATATCGATGCCGGTATGGAAATAGTTCAAAATTTCTTTGATGAGATCATTGTACGGATAGGCATTTGTGTTGATCACTTTTTTATTTTTTGGATTATGTCATTAGTACCTTCAAACTTTGATGAAGAAAGAAGCGATGGGTGCCGTTTGCTTCTGTAAACGCGGGTTCAATTAATTAAGAAGTAAAACTGATTTACAAAGGGGAACGGCCATGCAGGATTCCGCGTGTGCGGTAAAATAATCAGAGATGCACCAAAAAATCACAGCAAACATGTTCCACCCTGACCTTGTCCTGAAACAAGAACATCAACAGATTTATTGTAAATACGGGAAATATATGTGGCTTATAACAGCGCTTTTTTATTTTTTGCGTGCAATAATTACATGACAAATACCTTAAAGTACATGCATGTACATTTGCAGTAATGACGCGTCTTGAGAACTTAACCACCATGCATATTTTATATTAAACAGCTTATCCCTATACTCCTATATTTTTAAATGTGTCCTGCTTTCTCCTAGAAATCGGGTATTGTTTGATTAAGGGCTTGCAATGTCAAGATGATGAGCCAGGCTGCAATTTCGAGTACAGTAGGCTGGTCAGCGTATATACTGGTCCGCGAATGTCGTTGTGCAATGGCAGCACTTGTCTTACTCTAATGTATTAAATGAGGAGAAAGAACGTGTGTGACCATAGCTACATGTAAAATTAAGAATAATCTCAAGACATATACAACTATTTTATAGGAGTCCTTGTTGTTTTTCGTGTCAAGATGTTTGAAAACTCACCTGCCTATCAATTGTATGAAATCTATTATATGCACTTTAAAACCAAATATTCTGGCGAAAAGGATATTGGATCTACTTTGATGCAAATCCCTTGTCCAGAAAAACAAAGAAAATATATATGTATTAAAAAAACACACAACAAAACAAACAGATTTTCATCTTAAAGGGACTCTACTGCGGGTTTTTGACATGATAGGACTGGTCCAGTTATTTGCGTGCACATTTTTAGCTCATTTCCTCTCTCCGTTATTCCAGAATAGACATTTTTATAGTGCAAAATGCCCCCACAAAATACAGTGTTGCAACGCTTTTCGCTCAAAAACCGGCTAAGAATTTTACAAAAAAAAAATTAATTTCAAATTTAATTCAGAGTATATTTCTTGGTTATCCTTTGCAGATTTTTCCATTCAATAATATATTTTTGGGCATTTGGAGTTCCGTTCCTCTGTCACGTTTTTATCGTAAGATAAGGTTATTCAGTTCATTAACGATAACACCACAATTATTCAGTTAAATAACAAACATGACCATTTTCATGAAATTTTCTGTCGTTTGGTCAGGTACATCCGGAATGAAAATTCACAACGTGGCGTATACACTTGCAAGGTCACTGCTTGCACGAGCACAACGTGCACGTAACTCATTAATCAGAGACAATTAGATTACAGATTACTGATATCTATAGTCAGAGATAACATATCATACATGGCATGCTATCTACATCTGTGATATTGCTTTCGCATTAGGTTGTCCATGTTTTTATTTTATTTTTATTTTTCTGTGTGGGGTTTGTAAAATAAATTCTTAATAGACTATACCGAAAACGCTTCCATACAGTATTATCCTGACTCATTAACTAGTAATACATGGTTACTCCCCTTGACAAATCTATTTTCGCTATCCGAGCTAATCGACCTAGTTTCCCTTCAAAAATCACTTTTTCCTGCAAACAAAAGTATTTCATGAGTGGAAACATCAATGCAAAAAGGGCTACTTTACAATCAAAATGTTTTTCATATTGAAAATTTCCATGACATGCTGTACTTTTGCAGATATTAACCCTTTTACAGCTATTTCTTTGTTACGAAATAAATCCCGGCAGCTATAATTAGGCTAATGCTATGTGTATTCAAATGACATCACCTAGCTTTAAGCCAATCAAATTGCTGCATTGCCCTCACTCCCTCGAAAAGTTGAAAGGTCACGGCTATAGAATCAGCTGTTTGCGGCGAGTTTGTAGAAAAGATGGTGGTGGGACAGGAAATTGACAAGCTAAATCTTCAAAATTTGGAATTAAATCTTAACTAAAAAGAATTAAAAGGATTAACATTAAAGGTATTATATATTTATTTATCATATAATGTAAAAATATTATTTCTAAAACACTGAGGAGACGTGAATTTTGTCAAAAAATAAGGAAAAAAATGGGAATTTTTGATGTCCAATAACAAGTCCATTTTTCATGTTGATCTGCGAAGAACTTAGCACAGGTGATCACGAAATATTGATATCAAAAATTGCATATTAAAAGTATAAACTTCTATTTCTCAGCGAAAAATATTTATGTTTTATTAAAAAGTTTAATGCAACATTGTTGCATACGATGCATATTTTATTTAACGGATTGCACTAGATCTAATCGTGCACAAGTAGTGTCGTAACTAATAAAATGATAATTAAAAAGTCGGAAGTGAAATATTAAAATTTAATAAGAAAATGATCGTACTATTTTTTAAACTGAAATATATAAATTTAAGCCCAATAGAATTATTTGCTGTTCAATAGGAAACCAGAATTTATTTTATCAGTGATTTGATAAAATATTAAAAAATCCATATTTAACTATATTTTCTTTAATGATTTAGATAATGAATATCAAGTGTTTAATTTTCCTCCATTTATTTCCATGCTCACAAACTAACCACTAAAGTGGTGACAAATGAATATGGAAATAAATTGAAAATAGATGTACTACTACAGGATTTTTACTTAACAGCTTCAGAGATGGGTCACAACTACACAGATCATTAAATGATAATCTGATTACATCTACATCTAAATCATACTGATTATAATCACTTCCAAAATTTGTAGGCCTAAATTAATTCTTCCTGTATTTATTAAAACAGATCTGAAAAACACCTCAACAAATCACTTTTTTCTTGAAAGAATGATCCAATGATCAGCAAATCCTCTCTTCTCTTTTAGCACTGAGTCTGACACTACATAAGGAAGAAAATTGTAATAACATCCTTGAAAAACAGCCTCAGGCTAAACAGTAGGCAGTGATTACAGAATATAGGCTATTAAAAATTCATAAATAGATCAAAGATGACTAAACGCGGGTATTGTGAGATTTTCTATCAGCCGTTTTTAGTTATTATTCGCACTGCTAGAAACTTCCCTAAAACTTATACACTTTCAATATTTTGTGAAGAAAAATAATGTTTTGACCAGGCTGTTGCAAATGTATTTGGCCCTGGCTGTCAATCCCTCTATGCCTACATAGAAATAAGAGAGAAAAATTAAGTTGATATAACACAGAAAGTGTGTGGAAAGAAGAGGGGGACCACCTTTATATAGTTGTTCATCTATTGAATAGTAAAATTTAGTGTAAAATTACTGCTTTGTAGCAGCCCACTTTCAAGAAAGGATTCATTTTTACCATTTCTACAAGTGATGATGATGTATTATTGCTTTTCTTATTTTGAATATGTTACTTAATCTAATATATTATAAACACTTAAATTTTATTCCCCAAAACCCTAATTGTAAATTAAATTTGTTAATTAGGAAGGGGGATAGAGGAGTGATTATTCTCCAGGTAGAGGGTGTGTGGGGGAGGGGGATGCCACCTGATTTCATCTTACTTTATGGCCTAGCAATACTATTAAGACTTAATATGAATTTCTTACACAATGTTCATGTTTATCTATTTAATACTAAAAAGTAAAATATTTGAGAGAAAAAAGTGAGAATTTTATGCTCAGTTTTAAATACTTAGTGGGAATACCAACACTTGATAATTTTTTTAAAAATTAACTAAAATATGACATTATTTCTTCATCCTTTACCCTTTGCCTACTGACAGCATCTTTGAAGTCACTGTTTACTATTCTGTCAGTACATATTTTGAACATTTCCCTAAAAGTGATGAATGGTTTTGTTCCGATTGAGAGGTAGGACCAGTTTATCTAAGATCTTTGGGTGATATTGGGGTTAAATTAATACAGACATTCTCTTTTTGTCTGATGAAACTATGGCTTGAATGGTTGGCAAAGAACTATATTTATACAACTTTTAAAATAGTTCCTTGTCATCAGATCTCTATGTGGAAATCCTCCAAATAATAAGTAAATAGGGAGTGTTGTAAAATTTTTTCAAATTTTCCAAAAAATTCTTAAAAATTAATCAAAATTTACAGAATATTTTAGAATAGAATTTATTTACTCTCTAGAAAAATGGCTTTAGGAATTTTAGTTAAGTTGATCTATTTTTTATTCATAATTATTATTTTATATATTTAACTTACACTTAAAAGAGGTTATTTGATACATGTATATATGTTATAAGTACTAAAAGAAGCAATATTTTATGTATACCATGACCTAAAAGTGGTCATAATCTATAGTAATAAGTATTATCTATAGATATAAAGGCTATAAAAGATGATAGGATCATTATAGTGTATTTATAAGGTTGACTTAATCAGAGTTGAAATCAAAAGTGTAAAAAAAGAGATTATGTGAAAATTGACCTTGGGTTTTCATAACTTGACAACATATTTTTTTCTATATTTAATGCTTATCCAATTTTCTACCCGTCTCGTGCAATAAAGAACTTTCTAGATATCGAAAATCCAATACTGGTACAACTAAAAAAAATATGATGCAATCAAAGGTGCTTTTTTTTGGAAATGTGTGTTGAAGAATCTATATATTCTATATATTTTCTATTAACTTGCATCTATAGGTTTTTAAGATATCTTTTGTCTTTTAGTCATATTACTATAATTAGTAGTTTAGTCTCACGCATTTTGCTCTTTTTAATCTGAACTTGTTTTTGGCTACTGGGGGATATGAGCCCAGACCCCAAAAATAGAGAAAAAAAGCCTGAGTTACAGTACTGACATTGGACTTAAAATTGTCAGCAATGTTTTGTAAAAATTTGTAAGCATTGTTCATTAAGGAAAGTTTTAAGAACAGTGACTTATTTCGTCACAAATAAATTGTTGTTGTGAAAATTTAGAATATTTAGATCTTTTAAAAGGGCAGGACATTTCACTCATGGAAAGACCTTGAGTTTTGTTGTGGCATCAGTGTCTATTCTAGGAATTCAAAAATAGGGGTGATTTTCCCCCCTCTATTTCATAAAAGGGGGCGATTTTCAAAATCAAGGGGTGCCAATATAAACTGCCAATGTTAAATCGTCTGCATTAAGTTTACACTGAGGCGTTCAACCGATGAAATATTTAAAACGAAAATATTCATTTAAGGCAGCAGAAGTTGTCCTCCCTTAATTTATGAACGAAAACAAATTATTATAGAACTGTCGCGATTGATTATCAAGGGATTGACAATACAAACAATCGACCTATCTTTTACATCTAGATCGTAGCCAAGCTAGGATTTCTTGATTATTTACTACACTAAAATATGGCGCCCAACTGTCAGACCTAGCACACTAGTTCCGGTTGGTACGAAACATTCCGTTAATTTCCGTCAATTCATGTAACCAGTACCATACGGTACTAAATTATTATAATTAGCTTACAGTTACCTCCCTTCAGTTTCCGGTGTAAATGTAAACAAAAGCGAGATGGAATTATGCTTGCGAGGGATCACTGTTTCCAGAATTTTTTTACGATTTTTTAAACTTTTTTATAGATGCGCGATTTTCACGCACATGATTTTGAATTGTGCGCAATCTTTGAAATATTAGCGTGAATCGCGCAATCGCGCGTCCTAGAATAGACACTGGGCATTATTCATTATTCTGTATAATACCAAAGTGGCTATAATGCCACTGCTGATATATTTATTTCCTGAATTATAAGATCATAGTTCATATTTTGTTTTCATGACTCAATTTTCTCACATGTGATTTAATTATATATAAAACCACAAAAGAGAATCTCAGTGAATGTTGTGTTTGACATCATGCACTTATTAATTTAGAATGGAAACACTTGTGACCAATGACCAAAAAACATTTCACTGCTGATAAAACACACAAGTTGACAAATTTGCGGCAAATTTAACCAGTCCTTCTTCATGATTTTTCTATTTCATGAACATTTATGGAAAAATTATCAAATTAACATGTGGAACTAACAATTCTGTGACAGTAAATCTGGACAAAACCATTCATGTTTAGAGAAAATTTCTAAATATTATATGTACTGACTAAATAGCAGTGCGAGTTTGTGCAGTTGCCTCCAGCAGCTAGGTTAAAGGTTTAAGTCTGTCTGCAACCTGCAGCTAGCCACTAAATGTGGGGAAGTGACTTAAATGTGGGGAAGTTGTTAATTATATATAACTTGGTTTGTTGTTTTCAGAAAGAATTTGCATATTGACTAAAAATGGGTCAATCATTATAAGAAGGTATATTATATTAAGTACTTGAAACAAATCTGTTCTACTAAGTGTTTCCTTCATAAGTACTTAGAGTAAACAACTTAAGATTGCCAACCAGTGATAAAATGCACTCTTAGAAAAAAGTATGAGCCATAGCTGCAGAATAGAAATACAAACTTAACTATGTGCCAGGGCTATGTTAACCCATTTCTTATAAGTGTAACTGTTTTTACCGCAGTATATTCTCTCGCATGTAGTGCATCTATGGTACATTAATGTCATGTTACTTCTGGTATAAATATATACTTGCTTTCACCGAGATATCAGAGTAACATACTTCTTCATTTTTTACACAGCAGAAATTTAGATAAGTATTTCTTGGAGAAGCAAAAAATAACCTGTACGCATATTCTACATAATTGCTGTGAAGACTCTTTTTATGATTTATGATTTACTGAAAAGCAGCAATTTCAGAAATGAATTGAAGCTAAAAAGGTTCATTAAGAATAATTTTATAAGTGAATAAGTTGATCTTAATGCAGCAATCACTAAGAGTTACCTCCTTAATCCTCAAACCCCCCATCCCCACCCAGTGGGATTAGAGAAAATGAACCATGGGGAAATGAACCTCCACCCTGACTGCCCTAATTTAGTTTTTCTCACTCACGTTTTACCTATAGGCCTGCTTTAACCAAATAGGTGCTTATTACCTATCTAAGGACGTACATGTTGTACAAAAAATCAGTCCAAAGCTAAATC